AATTTTATTGTTACAATATTTGTTATTTAGATAATAATAATTATAATGCAATTAAAATAATTTAAAAAATTTGTTCAATTTAATTCGGTGTTTACTAAAGTATTCAAAGCACATAAAATGTTTTCGTATTTATTTGGTATTAATTAACACTTCAATATGATTAATATATCAACTATTTGTATTTACCTACATAAGTGTAGTTTTTTTTCTTTTTTTTTCAATAAATCATTCACATGATAATAATTTCTAATCTGAAATTATATATACATATGTAAATATTTAATAATGAACTTCATTCATACAGTTCTTTAGTATATTTTATTATTGTTTCATTATAATATCAAGTATTCATTGTCAACTATTCTAGACATATATTTATTCCGAATCTAGTTTTTCTTATGATATACATATACGGATTTACAAAACTAAAGCACTGTTCTTTACTAAAATGTAATCATAATATGTAGTATAAAAATACTCATATAGTATATAACTAAGTGATAAAAGTAATAAATGCTTTAGTATTTACACATGCAGTTCCTATATATATATATATATATATATATATATATATATACATACATACATATACATATACATATATATATGTATTCAAATTATATTCAATTTTATTAGATTTTTTATGAGTATTCTCTATGTTTTAAGCAATTACTAGTAACGCAAATCATATGTTCCTTTGCCTGTATTTCAGTACTGCATACACACACAAAACGCTTATACAATAAAAAAATATTTTCGTATATACACTTGAACATATATGCATTCGTATGATTATAATTGAATTATAACAAAAATAATAGAGAAATATATAGAACTAAATAACATCGTAATTTTTCATGCATTTAGCTACGCATCAAGTAGCATTTTTGTGAAAGAATCCTTAACTTAACTTATACATTTCATTACCCAGAAAAAAAAATCACAAAAATGAAAGGACGAAACATTACCTAAAACTGGATATCTTAAAAATCATACATATATATGAGCAAACAGCACTATCTTTTCTGCACTAATTTATTAATAATATTAATCTTACAAACGTTTCGATTGGTTTGTCTCATCATCAGTGTATTATAAATTAAAATTTAAAAAATCTAAAAAAGCGCTATGTGTTAGCCTAGTCAGTCAAAGGATTTCAGCCGCTTACAGTTCGTATGGCACGTGCATTTAATAAGAAGAACAAGTTGGAAAAGCTAACACATAAGTAGTGCTGTTTTAGATTTTCATATTTAAATTTTAGATTGTAATACACTGATGATGAGACAAACCTAATCTCGAAACGTTTGTAAAATTAATATTATTTAATAAATTAGTGCAAGAAGAGTGATTTTTATTAATATTTCTAATATTTCTAAATTAATATATATGAAACAAAAACAATTTGAAAAAAAAAACTAAAAAAGGTAAATGAAATAACTAATTTTAAACGCAACGAACACGAGAAACGGGCGACCGACAAGTGTGTGTGGGGGCGTAGTACAAAATCAGATTTACACATTAATTAAATTTTGATAGCTTTCTGAAAGTAAGCAAGAAGAACTGCGTTTATTCACACAATTTGAATTTAAAAAGATAAAACAAGATTCGGAAAATCTTCTAAGGTCCACATTTTTTTCTTTATTTAAAATTATGGGATGGTCGGTATTAAAAGAGTGTTTGAAGTTAATAATGTGCTCAGAAAACATTGTTTTAAATTGTTTTGAATTTTTGAGTTGTAAATATGCTGATTTATTGGGAACTTTCACCGTCACAGTCTAAACTCTAAACAATTAATTTTATAAACAAAATCGGTGACTCTGTCAGAGAATTAAGTCTTATATTTCAAAGTAAAAGAAAACAGGTGTGTTGTTACTGTAAAAATTAAAAGAAAACCTTCAAAAGAAAAACTTTTATATATATATATATATATATATATATATATATATATTGTCAAATTTTAAACGAGCATTCACCATCTGTCTTGTATGCTTGTGGTATATATAGAAGTTCTATAATTAAGTAGCAACTTTGTAACATATAATTTAAATGTAACTGTAATTTCATAATTTCAATAGATATCTCTTAAACAGTGATATATATTAGTTTTCTAAATAATATGTAACACAATGACTATTATATAGTAATTTATAGTATAACTAGTATACAATTCCAAAATGTGTTTCACATATCATTCACAGTTCTGATTATATAAATCAAGATATATTCACAAGTCACAATAATAATATAATGCGCTACTATTTACACGTATCTGAATTTACAAATATGTTACTTTATTACAAATGTCGTAATTGTAGGATCGCACTTAAATGTTCGTGGACACGCATAGAAAACTATCCTATTTATGTTAATAATAAACAAAGATGTTTTATCTGTTTAAGACGCTACGATGCGTCAGAAGTAAGAAAATAAAACAGCCTCCATTCCGAGCGAACAGTAAAACGATGTTGACTTTGCACTTGCTGCAGGCGCCGCAGCTGTTGTTGCCGTGCTGCATGGCCGCCGGGTGTTCACCGTTCAGCACGTGCACCATGACGCTTGCTGAATCTAAAAAAATGAATGCTTAATAACATTGAAATTAATTGCCAAAGAAGAAGTTTATGTTTTCGACAGAAAATCCGATTTGCTAATTTTATGTTTTCTTGATTATTCAAATCATTTTGACTTGTTTAACACCAAAATTGATAAAAGTTTATCATTTTCTCAACAATCGGCTGAGTCGTTTCTTTAAACGACTTTAAACGAAACGAAAAGAGCAACATTTTTAATTTCTCAAAGGAGAAGTTTGTTTTTGCCAAAAAAATCCGCTTTGCTTATTTTATATTTTATCGACGTTTCAAGCCATTTTGAATCGAATGAGTCCAAATATGAAAAAAGTATATGAGTTTGTATGCGTGTAAAAAGTGCAAAATTTTTCGTTCGCGTTTTAGCTAAAAATTCTGAATCGATTTTAAGAATTCAGAAACTATTCGAAACATATTACTTCGGAAACATGCTGAATAATTTTGGACAAAGATCGTAATTGGTTGTTAAAAAAAACGACTATTTTAATGAATCTGCATGGCTATAGAGTACATAGTTTCAAATATTCTACCAAAATATTATTGTCCTACTGATTTAATTATGTAACTAAATAAAATATAGATTATTCGGACGCGCTTTTGAAAAATACTTTGTGTGTGTATTTGGCACGTGTGCGATCTTCAATAATGTATAATAAAAGTTTTTATGTTGCTCACATTATGATGTTCTACGCTTTTGAATCACTAATAAATTAATATAATAATTTCTTATTAATTAAGTCCATTATTTATACTGTGGGATCGTAGTAGACTAGGGATCCGAACCAAACAAATGATATATGACATGTCATAATATTTTATTTTTGTGAACAATTTCGCGTTTTTAGAGCACCAAGCAGAATGAAATGTATTATTATTATTAACGCTTTAAGAACGAGCCCCGCATATATATGTTTTACGCAAATCATCAAATTGGCCGAAGAACTTATATATGCGTTCGGCGAGGGCAGTTGTTAGAGCCGAGGAACGCATATATGCGTCCAACCAAAATACATGTCGATGGCTGAGAAACTCAATGTTAATAAACCAAACTGAATTGTTAATTAATAAATGAACATTTTATTTATCCTGTGGAAAATCTGTGTATATAATTACAACGAGTCGAATTGCTAGAATTTGAGTAGAGTGCCAGAAATATATGTCGACGATTTTAAATGACAGAGTAGGAGCTCGGCGCGACGGTACGGTTTACTTCAAACTGTCCCGTCCTCAAAGGGTTAAATAAGTTGGCTTATATTATTATAGTTACAGATGAGTTACAGATATTATAAGCTTGTTTGAAAAGCGTTCATCCAACTTGCCTTAATGCAAAATGCAGCTTACTCTTAGCTGTAGACATTTTTCAGTATTCAATAGATTTTTGAATTTCGTAATATAGAAATATAAAATATTTATTTAATTTTACAAAAACAGAAATATGTACTTTCTATCGTTTTGCGGTAAGGTATAATTATATTACACAGTCAAATAATTTTAAAATTATTTTAATTGAACCGTTTTGAATTGTTAATCATTACGCGTAAATAAAATGATAAAATACAAACCAGTCAAATAATTTTAAAATTATTTTAATTGAACAGTTTTGATTTGTTGATCATTACGTTTAAATAAAATGTTAAAATACAAACCAGCTCCTTTAGGCGCGCAAGTGTAGTTTCCAGAATCGCTTGGTATAGCTCGGGCAATAAGCAACTTGGAGGTCCTTGTGTGCCGCTCAGTCAGAACACTTATACCTAATCAGATTTAAAATTTAAGTACAAATACTAAATATTGAAATAAATATAGAATTAGGTTCTTGTTTCATGAGAATCCCAAAAAAATGGTTCATAGCCAAAAATTCTATCAATAAGTATTTTCTATATGTAATGTTCATTTCACGATAGATCTATGAAATATTTTGCAATTGTATCAAATCTTATTTTGAAGAAATTTATGCAATATCGTCAATAAATGCTATCGTAGTAAATCACGCCATTAAATATGAACGAAACTATAAATTGTAGAAAATATTTATGAATTAAAAGTACTTTAGTTTCACTAATTTAACATTTCATATTTAAAAGAACTTTAGTTTGAAAAAAATGTGAATGAAAATGTTTAAATTCAAGATATTGAAGAATAAACATATTATTAAATAATAGAAAAGATTATTAAATTAAAGTACTCTCTATCCAGTTAGTTAATAGATTTTTCCGTAGTTGGATGAAAATAATGTTAGGGCTATCAATATTATTATCAATAGATAAATTTTTCAGGATATGCTTATGACTATTAAATGTGGAATCCACACGCTTATATATATATATATATAATAATAATAATAATAATATAATGAATATAATCTTAATCCTTAGACATAGATTCTGCTACCAAAGACTGGTCTTAAAAGTTTTCCATTATTGCGTGGGCAATTTTAGAGAATTGCTACTACTCACCTCCTCTTTGTGAGTAATTGACAACTCTTCCTCCTCGATACCAGTAAATAAATGAAGGAGGTATGGGTGCTTGTAAGGCGACACATGTTAAATTGATGTCACTTCCGGATTTAATGAACAGCTCCGAATTGCCTAGTATTCTTGCTTTTGATACTGAAATGCAGAAAAGCAAATCCTCGATTTAGTGAATGTGATAAAAGTGTAAGTTTATAAATATATTTATTTATAACCAAGCCGCAAATTTGTTTTTAAGAGAAATTGTTGATCAAAGTTCGAATTTGAGCGTGCTTTGTCCAAACTATTAAGGTAATAACATAATAATAATAGTAGTACCAATAATAATAATAATAATAATAATAATGATAACAATTTAGATAATAATAATAACAAATAACTAACATAATTAGCAATAATAAAGATATTAGGAACACCACCACATGCAGCATTGATGATTGATTTTTGAAAATATTAACCAGTTCTTGTATAATATTAAAATTTTACGTTCTCCATTTCACAAATCATTTATAAAAAAATGAAATAAATCGATCAAACTTGTAATTCTTTATCAAAAAACACCTCAAAATACGAAATGTGAAAGCACTTAAAGTATAAATTAACCCTGATTTATTTATATTAGATCTAGATATATTATCTAGAATTTTATACGACAAACTATGCGTGAAATAAATTATTTTCTATATAAAATATAAACTTTAACACTATATAAATTTGATAAAACAAGTTATTATATTCAAATTTATTCTCAATGGAGCAAATTTTTATGTGTTTACTAAATTATGTCATATAGCGTTTTATAAATCCAAAGTTAATTATTTAAATAAAAAATCTATTCTTTTAATAGTTTATTTTACAACTTTTTGAAAATAAATAAACGATATGAACATCTTATAGTCAAATATAGAAATAAGTCTGGGATAAATATTTGAGTAGTAATGATAAAATGTATATACTGCTGTTATATTCAAATATGTGTATATATGTATATAATTCGAACATATTGCAATTGAGGCATCTAAATTTGGAAGCATTCATCGTCAAAACTAGGAGCACTATAGATTTCATTATGCGGTAGTGATTGTGTCTATTGAACATGGCAAATTCGCGAAGCCAAGCAAATTCAAATATAATTTGAGCACTGCCGAGTAGCAGTTGTGTTCATTTATTGTACATACAAAATATATTACAATTTACAGAAAACTAAACGGTACTTAAATAGTCACCGCCAAGCTGTAAACCACGGTGATCCTAAATACTAACTATGATAAGAATAATCTGAATAATTCATCAGATACAACCATTTTTTATTTACTTCTATATTAAATTTCTCTTTTAAACTTTTTAGCCATTTAAAAAATCACTTATACTCCGCTATATTCACCAAAATTTACTTTCAAGTTTTCGTGTTCAGCATCATATCATATTGGTATACGCTTCGACTATATAAATATGCTTCACTTTTGAGAAAAGTTTCAAAGATAAAATATATTTTTATAAATGCGTAGGTGCAAAAATACTTGGTAAAATATTTGATTACTAAAATAGTTATTTCAATTCTTTTGAAGATTATTATTTTTATCTCTGCAAAAAAGTATTTATATTTTGCACTGGTAGACTAAAATAATTATTATTTCGTACAATTCCTTCAAAATTAAAAATAAAACATCGGAGCTCTTTACTCCTGGATGTCCCATTTCACTTTGCCTATGGGGTTAGAAAAGCCAGGTGACAAATTTTTGAAAAACAGCAAAAAACACATTTTTACGATTATGTATTAGCTGGGAGTTTTACTGAACATAGTCAGATAGTTGTTGATGTATTTTTTGTGGTGATCTAATTGGTTTGGTTGTCACAATATAATTGCTCAAATAAAATTGGACCTTGTGCTCCGCCCTATCTTATAAAATAAATAAAATATCTGAAATTTCACAAAGGAAAATAAATATAATTGATATTTTACATTTGGCTTGGAATAAAAAACTGAATAAAATTGTAATCTTATATATAAAAATGGAGCTCTCTTTCAAATGTCCGAATAAAACTCGAAAACGGCTGAATCGATTTGGCCAGTCTTAGTCTTGAAAAATTCGTGCCAATTCAGAGAAAGTCCAAAAGGTGAGAAATTATTTCAAATCCGCGTAGAAACTTTTTATTTTTAATTTGAAAATTTTTGTAGAAGCGTAATCTAAATAAAACAATGGAAGGTTGCTAACCGTGAAATGTCAAACGTTTTTGACAGATGATGTTCAATTACGTTCAATAAGATATTTTACGTGAATATTATTTAATTATAGTTAAATTGTAGTAAGTAGCTTTGTTTGTAGTTTTATTTATATATAAAAACGTTAGTAAACGAGCCGCAAGTGTTACTAGAAACTCAATATATCAACTCTTTTGAAATGTTAATATAAAAATGCACTTTTTGGCATTGTTGCACTCTTTTTTTGCAAATCATATTTTTCTTAAACACGGTGATCTGAAAGATCTCATTTGTAAAATTGTATACTCATTAGTATTTATAAAACATTTTCTAGGTTATATTATTTTTTATTTATGTTATTAAAATTCAAAACCTAAATTTGTTATCGATCAAAGGGACATTTTGCCGAATAACATTTCCCCAGTTATAATTTTTCAGAATTTATCGAAGAATAGATAGTAATATATGAAGGTCCGGGGTTAAAAAGGTCCACCAGCTATGTGTCAAAAACAAAAAAAGTAAAGTTAAGCTTTGTTTAACAAGGAATTGAAAAATAAAGGGAAAAAGATGTATAATCAGCTATAACCTTGATTCTTATGACTTTGCTATCTGGAGATAATCTGTAATCTTTGAAAATCCATAATAAAGGTATTTTCTTCCGTTGGTAGTTTTTTAGCATTAGTTAAAAGTGTAATTATTTTGTAAAATACATTTAAAATTAAAATAAGACATTAAACCTGTTTGCCATCTGGCATAATATCCTTATACACTTAAAATATTGATATTTTTGATTCTCTAGAAATTGTTTAGAATATACCTTACTTAGCAAAACAACGTTTGCCGGGTCAGCTAGTATATAATATAAATAATCTATACCACTTAAAAATATCTGTTCACTCACCGACCACGGTCAACCTGTAGGCAAGGCTAATTTTGGGTTCCGTGGAAACCTGGCACTCGTAGGTGCCGCTGTCTTTCGGCTGGGGTGAAGTGATACGAAGCGTCCAGTCGTCTGAACCCTCCGTGTGCAGTGATTGGAAACGCTGGTCATTCGTGTAAGTCAAGATGCCAACGGTAAGAATGTGCAAATCCCTCTTCCGAATCCAAGACACCTTGAAGGATAATAGATTAGTGTCGACTGTGAGGGGTCTCTGCCGATTAACTACTTGGCTAAATTATATATAAACACACACAAATATACATACACACACGTATATATATATATATATATATATATGTATATATATTGATTCTATCTGTTTCGACGTTGATATGTATGTGACATTATTTTTTTTGGCTAATACGTCGAATAAAAATATAAATAAAAAAATAATATTGGATTAGTTTCGACACTATGTTTGTGTCATCTTCAGCAAGTTCTGTGAATATTTATATGAAATATTAGAGAAAATACAATAAATGTAACACTAATACATTTTTTTTTCATATATATTTTTTTAACAGCAATCAGAACCTTACGTCCTATGAGCTGTTGGGCTGGAACTTCTCCTCACTTCGTATTTTTTAGATGATAACCCAATGGTTAATCCATCTATATTTGATAATTTTGTTATTAGAATTAATCTAATAGGGCTAACATTTTATTGGTGCAGCAATGCCGGGCAAGGCCTATTTTCACTTGGAAACATATTGCTATCTATATCTAAGTGAAAATTGTTGTCACTGCTGCCTGACAACAGGCTGCTCGAAGCGGGTATCGAATCCGGGACCTCTGAAACAAGTCCCGTTCGCTCTTAACCGCTTACCTAATACGGGCGAGCCCAAAAATTTAAAATATAAATATAAATAAATAAATACTTGTTAGAATTTTCCAATTTCCGAAAGATTATAATTCACAGAACTTGCTGAAGATGACACAGACATAGTGTCGAAACTAGTCCGTTAAAAAAAAAATATTTATATTTTTATTCGACGTATTGCCCAAAAAAATAATGTTATATATATATATATATATAAACTTTAGATTCTTTGATATTGAAACATATTCTTGAAATGTTTATTTGCAACAAAATAGTCAAAATATGAAGTCATAAATAATAAACTAATTATTATGTACGTTTCGACGCTGTATGTGTATCATCATTCAGAATTTTAAACAAATTCTAAATAACATTTTACAAAGTTTAAAGAAATTGTACTAGATGTATAACAAATAAAAATATCAGTACATAACAAACCAGGAAAAAACACAATGCACAAATTTTAAAAACATTGTTTAATAAATAATCAAACAAATAAAATAAAGTAATAAAATAAAAATTAAATAATAGAGTTTACTACACAATTTTATTATGTATTTCTTAGTTTATTATTTTGTTCAATTTGTTTGTTTACTGTGTATTAACTGTTACCTCATGTTGTACACAATATTAGCGACCTGTTGATTAATTATTGATTAAACAATTATCGATTAATGTGATAGTAAAAGTTTTAGTGCTAATTTAAACTATAGTTTGACCAGTCATATAGAATATTGACATATAATTCATGTTAATTATTCTCTAAATTTACATATGCTCGAATATTATTGAAAATTGTGCTGTTAAACGTTATTGTCTGATATTAGTTGATTTTTGCGGATTAACAATAATAACGTTATTAACGTAGTAATACCAACAAATAACAAAAAAACAAAACTAATGAATTTAATTTATGTAACACAAAACGCCATTCATTCAAAATCTCACATGCTAATATTTTTCCGTAATGCGATTTTATAATCATAAACATTTTAATTGGCATATAAAATTTTTATTCGATTTCAATAAAATTTCATTTTCTACGTAGTTTGTTTAATAAAAATTGACAATTCAGTGATGAACATAGTACACTCATTATTATTTTGTTTGTGACTGAAATCAACACAAAATCATTTTTGTTTTAATTTTAGTTTCAAAATTGTATAATGTAATTTTAATTTATTTTAATAATATATTTGGGGGTATAAAAATGGCAGGCATATTTGTACGAACAATTTTCACAAATTTTAAAGTTGCGCAAATTTATGCAATACGACACTGTAGTTGTGAGACAGGACGAAAAGGTAAGATGATAGATCACACATTATAAATTGACAGCATTTATGATTTAAAATTAATTATACATTTACAGTTGTAGTTATATCACATAATATATAACTATATACAATTATATGAAATGATAGAATTACATATAAAACGTTTTTAAAGCAAACTTAAAAAAACACATACCCAAATTAATAGTAAAATCAATCTTGGAATCAATCTAATTTAGATATATATGAAGAAAATGAATGAAAATTTGTTAATTTATAGTTGTTCTATGCAACTTTTGTTATGCTTCATATAAAATAATTTTACGTTTTATATTTTAGTTAATTTTATAGTAACAAGTTTAAAACAGTTTACGTTTACGTTTAAAGTGTAAAACATATTGTAAAGATACCATAAATTTGCTAATTATTATGAAATATATATATGCTAGTTTTGGTCACATCTCCGTGAAAGTTTCGTATATTATACAGATTATACTTCGTATGATATGTTCGTTATGTTTTAATACTGAATAATATTATAGATAAAAAAATTGAATAGAACTTTGCTATGCTAGATTGTACCAATGCCTCACTATTAAATAAACAAGACCTATTTCTATTCAACTCGATTTCTTCCTCCACCGCAATTTACTATAAAATATAATTTTACCTATTGAAATTGTTATCATTACTTTCGCATTTATATTATAGCAATGTTTATGTAGCACATCTGTAGTATAACCCATATGGATACAAATTAAAACTAACATTTTCAAAATATTCAAAATATAGGTGTGGTATTAGGAGTTTATACTAATGACTGCGGTAAGCCGAAACTCACACAAGCCGCCGAAAAGTTTGATTGTCGGATCGGCGGCAAATTGACACAATTACTCGATGATATCGGAGGATTAAAACTCGGAAAATCAACAGTTATGAACAATATCGATAAAGAGTTCTGGTCTGTTTGTTTAGTCGGACTAGGCGAAGAAGGAATAGGGTAAGTAGAAAAAATATTTTTTTATTCTGCTAGAAAGTAAAGCACATACTGATCGAAGTTGCATCGAACATTGACGTGGATTTTTTTGCGCCTTTCATATACATAATATTCCCATTTTGTTATGATTCTCATCACATTGTTCCATGTTGAACATTCCATTCATGGAAACCCAATATTTTTTAAAAAAATATTTTGTAGATACTGTGAAGTCGAAAGCTACGACTTAGGCAAAGAAAATGTTAGGATAGCAGCGGGAGCTGGCGCAACAAAACTTCGCAAAGAAGGTATAATATAGAAGAAACTAAAAAAACTCTCAACAATGATACTTATGTTCATTTGAATCACCTATTTCAGGAATAAATACGATCTACATTGAAGATATGTGCAATCATGCTGAGCAAGCAGCGGAAGGTGGTACTTTAGCAGTTTGGAGATTCCAAGTAAATAAAAGACTTATTAAAAATCAAATGCATATTGCAATTATATTTGTATTATCTTCTGATTAGGAAAACATGCATAAAAACAATTGGCGTCCAGTACCCAACTTGGAGTTATATGATTCGCAAGATACTTGTGGGTGGACACGCGGCATTTTCAAAGCAGAGGCCCAAAATTTGGCAAGAAAATTATGTGATATGCCAGCTAATCAATTAAACCCAACATCTTTTGCACAGGTTAAATAACTTTATAGTGACAATTTAGGAATTATGTTTACGTTAATTGATAGCGAGATAGTTGTTTGGCCATAACTTAATAGACTTATTAGACTTAACTTGATGGTTTTATATGGGAAAGATTTAGATAATAAAATAAGATAAATTCATTATTTTTATTATAAAAGGCTGCCGTTGACGCATTATGCCCATGTGGCGTTAACGTAGAAGTCCACGATAAAGATTGGATTGAAGATCAGAATATGGATACATTCTTGATGGCTGCTAAAGGCTCATGTGAACCTCCAGTATTCCTTGAATTGACATACTGTGGTGGCGGTTCAGAAAAACCAGTTGTTTTGGTTGGAACCGGATTGACATTTGACACAGGCGGATTACATTTGAAAAAATGCCATAATATGGACAAGTATCGAGCAAGTGTTGCCGGTAAGATGATTTAAAATGAGATCATTGATAGGGTTGTAGTATTAAAATTATTTTTTTTAAATAAAATCAATGTAGAGTCAAAATCAATCAGGATAAACTTAAAATTCAAACAATATTTCTAGCATATTATATCCCTTGACGCTTTTAGAGAATGATTGACAATGTCGATTACTAAATTTCATGGTACTTTAACAATGAAGTGAATCACTATTGCCAATTGGGATGCAATGCTGTAACGCTGTAATGTCGATGATGATGACCATAAATCCGCAATGTAATAGTTAATTTATGAAATCGTAATAGGTATAAATCGGTGCCATATATTCATGCGGGTGATGAATATTAAAGCGCACGAACTCATCTATTGTTAATAGTCGCTGGTGTAACTATGTTTTAATATGCCATATAGTAATGCTACATCGCCAATTGGTTGGATAAAACTTTCTTAGATCATCTTCTCTATTTTGAAAATGGCGCATTTTGAAAAGCTTTGTCCACTATTTAAACATATTACGCATATTTTTCTGATCTTAATAAATTGAGGCCAATCAGCCAATTGAAATAATTTTTATGCATGGTACGTTTTTTAAAATATTTTGTATTACAACGATTATAAAATATTTTTTTTCCAGGAGGGGCGGTCGTGGTGGCCGCGATGCGTGCAGCGGCTGCCCTATCTATACCGATAAACATAACCGGCCTGATACCCCTTTGCGAGAACATGCCCAGCGGCCTGGCCATGAAACCAGGTGATGTCGTTAAGGCACTAAATGGTCGTACCATCGTGGTACAGAACTGCGACAACGAAGGACATCTGATATTGGCCGATACTTTCATTTATGCCACCGATAAACATAAACCGCGAATGCTTATTGATATATCGACTATGACTTCTTGCATTCGAGCTGCTTTGGGCGCCGGTAAGTGAATCTTTAAAAGTATCTTTATTTATCTGGCTAATGCAATGGCATTATATGA